TTTAACAGTTATTTCAAATTTGTATTTTTTAATATATATTGTTTCTGGGTATCAATATGTTAAAATTTTCTGCTACTGATATGACGAAGTTCTTAAATTTTCTTTCATATATGTACTCTTAAGTATGAATAAGTATGATGCTAGAGAGAATAATAAATAACAACGCTATAATATTAGGTTATATTTACTTTTTGTTGATTACTACTGTATTTTTGCTAGTCATATGCATTAAAAGAAAATTGCAAACCTATAAAAAAGTTGCAAGACTTATATGATAAGAACTTGTTCATCTTCGCCTGGATTTTTCAATGACTACCCTTTAGAAACATTTTCTTTTATATAACCATATATAATCATTTGTATGTTTTTGCTAAATCTTTTTAAAAAGTAAGTAATGAACATTACTATGAACATTACTATCCTTTTTCCCTAAATATTTTAGTCTATATCTTCTCAGTACAAGGATATTATCTGAAATAACTACAATAACATTATTAAATCCAGAAAATTTAGAGTTGATTCTGTATATTAATAAATATTCAGTCCACATTCACATTGTAAACTGCTAAGGAAGAATGCAAGAGTTTATCAATTACCAAGGTTCTTTTTTAAAGAAATCTTAAATTAGGTAGATAAGTGATCATCATACAGGTAAGGTTTGGGCCTCCCTTTGGTCCTCACTTCACCTGGCCTGAGAACAAGTACCATTATTGATTTTATGTGACCACCCCCACCCCAACAAGGTCCTTTAAATTAAATATACGTAGTTTAGAATCCCATCAAGTTTAAGGTCTATAGATTGAAAAGCCAAGACAGGCAGGCAAGCAAAAAGATACAGATAGAGCAATAAAAGATAGATCTACATATATAGGTAAATCTATAGATAAGTATTTATATATCTGATGAGTCTAAACACAATCAGATGTATAAGTAACCTATAAATGGAGTAACAAAATCCAACAAGCAAAGTAAGTGAAGAACTTCAATGAATCTTTATAGCACTGCGTGTAGATGAAGTCACCTAACCCCAGGATTTGTAGTTTGGACTGGAAAAACTACTAACCTACAATACATAGTAGAACACTTTTCTTTCCTCGCTGTGTCTTTCTCCCTCTAGTGTTTCTCTCAGTAATAGCAAACAACATCATCCCTGCAAAGCCACAGTTATAGCCTAATGAATAAAACAGAATAAGTATATAGATTGTAAGGGTACAGAGAAAATAGCATAAGAAAACTAAATTCTATGATAAAATAGTGCTGCATATTCGTAGTTAAAGAAAAAAAAAGACTCATAAACTTGAGGAAGAAAAAAAATCTCTTTTTAAATGTATGCCAAAACATTTGCTCTAATAGCTTTTCTAAAATTAAATAACTTATCAATACAAAGTCCATCTTCCCCTCACTGCTGTGTATTAGGAAGCAGTCTCTCAGTTTTATAAATGTCATGAAATTTTGTCTTCCTACCTGGTATCATGAGGTGTATTTTTCCCTATCTGAGTGTCATGAGGGCTCTTATCTTTACTTTAGTGACACAGTGTCCTTTCTTCCTTGCTGACCACAGGGAGGTCTTGGAGGAAGTTCTTAGCTTACAGCCATATATATATATACCCACATACATATAGCAACTCCTAGTGTTTTGATGTATTAAACAAATGGGCTATGATGGTCTACAAACTTGGCCTGGTGCGTTCTTCTCTTCTTTCTTGCAATTCAGTTATATAGGAAGACAAATTTTGAGTCTGTTGTCTTGTGCCTTGTCAAGGGAATATCTATGGTTATCTGAATTCAGTTGGATATTGAGTCTAGATGAAGTGCAAGGAACACATTTTTTTCTTTTTTTCATTTGTTTACATTTAGGTGGTACAATTGTAATTCTGCTACATGCATAGATTGTGTACTGGTGAACTCAGGGATTTTAGGGTACCCATCACCCAAATAATGTACATTATGCCCATTATGTAATTTTTCATAATCTACTCCCTTTCCACCTCCCACCCTTCTGAGTCTCCATTGTCTATCATTTCACACTCTATGTCTGTGTGTATACATTAATTAGCTCCCATTTATAAATAAGAACTTACAATATTTGTCTTTCTGTGTCTGAATAAGAAAAATGATAGCTTCCAGTTCCATGTGTTGCTGCAAAAGACACGATTTTATTCTTTTTATGACTGAATAGTGTTTCATTATGAATATATACCACATTATGGATATATACCACATTTTCTTTATTCAATCATGTTTTCTATTATTGAAGTTAGCTCCATAAATGAAGAAAGGAAGAAGAAAGGAAGAAGAAGGAAAGGAAGGAAGGGATGGAGGGAGGGAAAAGAAAAACAACTCCCAGCTTAGTTCTTAAAAATTAAAAGCAGGCTAGAACACTCTTCCTTTCTCACTGTGCACCATCTAGCCAGCTCTAAAATGTGATAGTAATACGGAGATTGTAGGATCAGTGAATGTCAGTTTCAGTTTCAGAAGCCTCTGGATGGCTTCAAGATAGCTCAGGGTAAGAAGCTGAGCAGGGTAAGAAGCTGAGTACCAGTAGTGATTGATGGAAATGAACAATATGTCCCCGAATGGGGAGCCATAAAGGACAGTAAGGGCGATATCACTCTAGATCAAATGACATTTCGTGTCAAATTTTAAGTAACCCTGGTGAAGATCTTCTCCAGGCATTTCTTAGAAGTCAAAGTTCTGGTTTTTTATTACATACAATGCAAAACTACTTCAATGTTTTCTGGTCAGAACATTTTATGGAGAACATGGAAAGATGCAGTTGGTGTTTACCAAAAGACGAATTTTCAATTAGTGTACATATTGGGACTCCAGCCAATAAGAATGTATGATTTCTTTCGTTGTCACTGGCATTTCTGACTCCAGGATCTCAGAATATATACAGGTGGTAGATGCTAACTTGGCACCACATTATTCTGAATCTAATTTACAAATTACAATCTGGAAATTTTATAACTTACTTTGAATTTCTTAACCATTATTTGTGCCCTCACAGATATATTATGTAATAATAATCTTCAGTTCATATCGCGCCTGTCCTGGTATTTAATATCTAAAATTATAACTAACATTTTTGGAATGTTTAATATGTGCCAGACATTGTTCAAAGTGTCCACTTATATTTTCTTATTCATTTCATCCTCGCAATAAATAATACTTCATTTTATAGATGAGGAAGCTATAGGCGCAGACAGGTTAAATAATTTGACCAAATTTATCGATGGTTAAATGCAGATCTGGGATTTTCATCCAGGGAGCCCATCTCTGCACTAATCACCACAATACGTTGCCCCAATTCTCAGTGTTTACATAATATTATTGATATGCTTTGTTTTTATATGAATAGGTAATCACTAGAATGTAAATGTCACAAAGAATCTATGCTTTATATGGACTTCGCAGCAACTTGGATGGATTTAGAGTCTATCATACTCAGTGATCTATCACAGAAACAAAGAAGAGTACCATATGTTCTCACTCATATGCAGACCTTGAACAGTTATCACAATACTGTAAGAAAGGGATTGGCAGTAGTGGGAAACTGCTAGGGAAGGGGGAGTGGGATTGGCAGTTGAGGGAAACTGCTAGGGGAAGGAGGGGCAAACCTCACCAACAAAGGTAGCTGCATAATGAACATTTGTATACCTAACCCTGAATTGTACCCCACATCTTTAAAATAAGAAAAAGAAAAAAAAAAGAATCCATTTTTTTGGACTGTGACCAAAATGCCCAGAACAGTGCCTGGCACACAGTAGACAATCAGCTAATATCCATGACTATTGTTGAAATAAGAAAATTCTTGAGAATTTGATACATCTATTTAGTGCTGCCAGCATGGAGAAAGGGCAAGAGAAATTCATGACAATAAGCAGGACAATCTTGGTTCACTAAGATATCACTACTTCCAGTCCCTAAAATAATTCTCAAGAAAATACATTTTATAGGGAAAGAAAAAATAGAAACACCAGTATTATGTTAACAATACTTTATTGCATATTTCAAAATAGCTAGAAAAGAAAAACTGCAATGTTTTCAACACAAGAATAGATGTTTGAGATGACCCTGTTTAAACATTTGCATTGTGTACATGTATCAAACTATCACATGTACCCCTCAAATATGCACCTATGATATATCAATAAGAAACAAAAAAGTAGTATCAGTAACATTAAATAAAGGTTGTATAATTGAATACTTGTCACTACTGATTTCTGTCTCTCCCCCCCCCACTATATCTTCTCCATGCTCTCTCACTGACTGACCCTCTACCTTAACTTCCACAATCAAACAAAAAATTTCTTTATGATAGGATGATTATAGAGGTGGAAATTAACCTAACTTTAGGAAGATGATATTGTTCTCACTTTCTTGGGGGTAGCAGTGAGGAAAAATGCCACCACCAGTCTGTCTTTCTCTTAATAGCTCTCCCAGGTGTCATATACACCTAATATTACATAATTGTGAGTAATATGGTAATGTGGTTATTAAACAGAGAACAAAGGGCTATGCATGAAAGAATCACTTCAAAATACCCACTGAAGAGGTAGGAAATACTTTGACCACTAAATAAAGAGGTCAGAGAAAAAGAAAGGAAAAAATTATACTATCCACACGGCAACGCCTCATCTTGGCAAAACTGGCAAGCTTTTCCCATCAGCAACAATCCATGTGTGAAAGGAGTTCCAGGTGAAGCTCTAGGACTGCATGAACCTGAATAAAAAGAGTCACTGTGATCTAGAAGTGTAGAAAATTGAGCAAAGTCCAGGATCACTACAGGATAATCTGGTCATATTGGGTCTTCTAGACTAGAAGGCAAATTTGAGGGCAGGGACCATGGTGGTCCTGTTGAGCATCACACTGCTTTCCCAGAGTCCACTCATCTCCCACTCCTTTCCTCATGACTACAATTTATTATTTTTCTTTGTCCACCAACCACTCCTTCAGCCACATGCCCAGGCCTGCCTGTCTTCTGGTCAGGGCCAGTTTCACAGAGGCACAGAGTTCCATTGGTTCCAGTCACAGGGCATAAGCACATGACACAGGGTACGATTCAGTCTCCGCGTGACTTCATTGGCTTTGTCAATATGGTTATATAAAGGGAAGCCACGATTCTCTAGAACTTGGACCTGGTGATATGTGACATAGGACATGAGACCTTGGCCCTGGTACTCAGGCATGGTACCTGCCATTCGTAGTTCTCCAGTCTGGTCCACTAGGACCCAGGAGACAGGAGTCCCTTTGGGTCCCAGCAGACAGAAGCTGGGGAAGGTCTGGATACAGCGCTCAATGAATCTCTGGCTCCTCTCATTGCCACCAAATTGCCATAACTTATTCACCAACGCAGCATGGGTGATTTCCAGAGATGAGAGTTTAAATATCACTTGATTACTGTTGATAAAAAAGGAAAAGAAAAGCCTATAATTTTGCACATACTATAAAGTACTGTATTTTTTCCCCCAAATTGTCTCAAGAGGCAAACAGGAGTACAGGTAAGTTATGGTCTCTGCAGCCCAACTGACTGGGTTCATAATCTGACTAGTGGTGTGATTTAGGTCAGTTAACTTAATATCTTTATCTCAATTTCTTCTCATCTAAAAAGGGGACAGTAATAGCACCTCCAACAATAGACATATATGAATATTATAACAGCTACTATGAGTACCTAGAAAACAAACAATAAAAACCATATAAAAATTAAGTACTGTTCTCAACGTTGCTGTGACCCTCCATGTAACAAGGGGCAGTTAATATCATCCCCCGTTTTATAGTGAGAAAAATGGGTAAACAGAAAATAAATGAATGCCCAAAGCACAGGCTAGCAGGCAGTAAAGCCAGGGCTTAGTGTTATGGAGTCTTAGAATGTTGCTATCAGAGTTCTTGGCCATTGTGTTGAACATGGGAAAGCTGAAGTCCAGAGAGAGACAAGTGACATGGAATACAGATGACCCTCACTACTGAGGACTGAAGTCTGAAGGCTCCTGCAATGGCACATAGGGGCTTTGAGAGGCATCCTGGAGAGAGCCCAGGATGTGGGAACTTGAAGATTTTTACTCAAATCCTGGTTATTCCTTTAACAAAGAGTGTGGTGATAAGCCACTTCATCATCAGAATCTGTTTCCTGTCAGGAAATGGGGAGAATGTCTCCTACCCCTGTCTATTTCATAGGGTGGACAAGAGGATGCAGTGGGAGTCCATCTGTGCTTTTTAGGTTACAATGTGCTTTGCAGTGTAAATAAAGTTTTTCCAGGCACATTATCACACAGAGGACCATGGGATTGAGCACCTTCAGATCAAATCCTTATCATCATCAGTTTTCAATTCTACTCAGCATTAGACTAAAACTTAACAGGAGGAAATATATGATTTGTAAAAATTGTTTTTGTGAAAACCTTTTATTCTGTGAAGTGAATCCATTAAATTCTCTTTCTCTCTCTCTTTTCTCTTTTTTTTTTTTTTCTTTAACAGAGTCTTACTCTGTCACCCAGGCTGCACTTGGCTCACTGCAGTCTCAAACTCCTGGGCTCAAGCAGTCCTCCTGCATCACCCTCCCAAGTAGCTGGGACTACAGGTGCATGCCACAATGCCCAGCTAATATTTTTACTTTTTGTAGAGATGAAGTCTTACTATTTTTTTGTTCCTAGGCTGGTCTTGAACTTCTAGGCTCAAGTGATTCTCCCACCTCAGCCTTCCAAAGTGCTAAGATTCCAGGCATGAGCCATTAGACATGGACTAAATGCATATTTATTAAGAACCTACTATGTGCAAGGCAGTGTTCTATTGAGGCTCTATCACTGAACAATATAGAGGGGATCCCTGCTCATGTGGGGTTTGAAATATTGTGGGATAGGATTCAAACTATAAACAGGTAGATGAATATACAAATAATCTGTTTTCAGATAATGATAGTGCTATAAAAAATAAAAATTGGATTTTAAAGCATTATGGAAGGGGTGGTTTTAGAATAGCAAAATGATAAAAGTATGTGAAGATCAGAGGGAAGAACTTTTCAGGTAGATGAAAAGCAAATGAAGTGGCCCAAAGGTACATGTGAGTGTATAAGAATGAAGTAGCAGAAATAAGACCAGAGTTGCTGGTGGGAGTGAGCAAGAAGGACAAGATGAAGTCTGAGGGAGGGATGGGTACAAGTCTTACAGGGTCTTCAAGACCCATAAAGAAATTTGGATTTTATGCAAGGTAGAGGGGGAAGTTGGGAAGCTACTTCAACAGTGAAAGATGTGAGAAGTGCAGAGTATCTTTCAACACACTCACATGGCCTTGGGCTTGCCATATTTAGGATATAAGTTATTTGTCTCCAGCAGAAAAGGGACCAGTTTAACTGCTGTAGCAGGCATCATATAGAGAAGGCGTTGGGTTCTCTTGATCTTGACCAGTTTAGTAGCTGCAAGACTCTGTATCACCTCATCCAAGCTGGACTGTGTACCTAAAGGGGAATAAAGAAGGGAGAGAAGTAATTGCCCAATTAGAAGCTACAAAAAGTTGCCCAGTAGAAGTATGCAGGATTTAGAGTCAGATAAACTTGTTTCAGGTGTTGCCACTAACTGTATGACCATGGCCAACTCACTCCCTGCGCATGTTTTCTCTTAGGCAAAACAGAGATAAAACTAAAATCCCTGACTGTATTGCTGTGGAATCAAAGGAGACATGTTATTTCAAAAATAATACCCAGTCTTGATTGTGTACATACTATATGGCCAGGTATTGATCTAATACCTCATTTAATCCTTACTCTTTACATTGACCCTATGTGTTAGGGACTTTTACTATCCTCACTTTTATATACAAGGAAACTGAGTAATAGTTAAGATACTTGCATGAGATCACAAAAGCAATAGTAACAGGCAAAGCAAGGATGTCACATAGGGGGTCTGGAGGGCAAGTTCATAGTTGCTGCCATTTTTGACCTTGGTGATCTAGGATGGTCACCATGCACAATGGTCTGTAATTCTTATTCTAATAATGGAAGGCTGGAGAGGAAGCTGTGCTGTCACATCTGATCTTCCTAAAAGATTCCAAATGTGTCAGCAAAGTGTGTCACAAATCCTCAGTTAACAAGAAATTACATTACTCAGAGTTCCTTATATCACACAATTGGTAATATTCTGCTCCACTGAATTAATAATGAAGAGGTGGTGGTGGCTGACACAGAAAAGAACATCATGCTGAGTCTAGTAGAGTTTAGAAGAAGAAAGTAAATGTTTTAAGGGAATGTGTTTCAGATGAAAAGTGACCCTAAAGTGTAGACAGGCAATCCCAGCAGTCTGCATATATCCCAGTCCTGTTACTTTGGATCTGCAAATGTTGTTTCCAATTGATGATGTCTGACATGCTAAGGCATTCTTGACAGTTCTTGGGATCTTTAGAATAGATTTTATAGCTGTTGCTGTAGTTATCAAAGTCATCTGTCATCTCCTGTTTGGATGGAAAACATGAAAGAAATAAAATTGCTTATACTAAGTGATTGTGATGTTTGTCTTTAGTATTTCATTATACTGGGTTATTTTACAAACTTAAATATTGGTTTTTAAAAATATATTATCATTATTCCTGAATCACATACATCATGAAACCAAGTCAGGAACTCAATTATTCAATCTTTTTTTGTTTTTGTTTTTAAAAAAACCTTGTTGGACCAAATATTTATATGTTGCATTACAATTTCAAGTCAACCAAACATGCTTCTATAATTCTGTAGTTTTCAGAAGACATAAAAGCATTATCGTCAAAGGCACGCTTCTGTTCCAAGAGTAAACCTTACTCAAAGAGTTTCAGAACACATGTATGATGAACATGACAATGTCAAAATGCCTATCTACACATAATGAAGCTATACAAAATGAAGGCACACAATATCTTTAAAATATAAACTATAATGCACTGTTGTTTAAAAATGCAACTTCCATGCCCAACAAAATCAATACACAAAATTTATTGAAAAAAGATCTTCTCAAAGTTAACAAATAAACGATGAGAGAATCTTTAAAATGAAGGAATTATCAGAGGACAACTAAGATGGAATAGCAGAATAGCGGGAAAATTTCACATAGTTATGCATTCATAACTCAGCAATAATACCAGTAACAATTTGTGTTTTGAAGATCACATTTTAAAAGCTAATATTAGTCGGGCTCGGTGGCTCAGCCTGTAATCCCGCGCCTTGGGAGGCTGAAGTGAGTGGATTGCTTGTGCCCGCGGGTTCGAGACCCTCAACTTGGCGAGACCTCATCTCTACAATAGATAGAAAACTATCCGGGCATGGTCGCGCGTGCCTGTAGTTCCAGCTCCTTGGAAGGGTGAGGCGGAAGGATAGCCGGAGCCCAGCAGGTCAAGGCTGCGGTGGCCGGGAGTGGCCACTGCACTCCAGTCTGGGTGACAGAGACTCCAACTCAAAAAAAAAAGCTAATATGATTCAATTTTTAGATTTTGATAATTTTAAAACTTTTTATTTTTATATTGTTTCTTTTTGTGTTTTTCTAAAAATAAATTTTGTTGTGTATATTTAAGGTATATAACACATTATGGGACACATATAGATAGTAAAATGATTGATTATCAGAGTGAAGCAAATGAACACATTCATCATCTTACATTGTTGTCTTTTTTTTAGCAAGAGCAGCCAAAAATCTAGTTATAAAACAGGAATCCCAAATATAGTACAATTTTATTATGCATAGTCCTCACCATGTAGATCTCTAGACTTGTTTATCCTACATATCTGTTACTTTGTATCCTCTGACCTAGATTTCCCCATTTCTTTCCCCCTCCTCCACCCCTAGTAACTATTGTTTAATTCTCTGCATATTTGATTTTTTTAAAAGATTTCACATGTAAGTGAAATCATGCAATACTTTTCTTTCTCTGTGTGGCTTATTTAACTTAGTATAATGTCCTCCAAGTTCATCCGTGTTGTAGCAAATGGCAGAGTCTCCCTTTTTAAGGCTGAAATAATATTCCATTGTACACAAATAGCACGGTTTCTTCACCTGTTTGTTCATCAACAGATACTTAGGTTGTTTCCATGTTGAGGCTATTGTATGCAACATTGCAGTGAATATGGGAATCTAGATATCTTTACAAAATGATGGTTTCATTTTTTCTGCATCTGTACCCAGAAGAAGGATTGCTGTGTAATGTGGTAGTTCTATTTTTAATTTCTTTAGAAACCTTAGTATTGTTTTACATAATGACTACATCGATACACATTTCCTCCAACAATGTACAAAATTCCCTTTTCTTTCCAACCTCACTAACACATCCTTTTTATCTAATAATAGTTACCTTAAAGAATATAAAGTGGTATCTTGCAGTTTTGATTTGCATTTTTCTGATGATTAATGGGGTCATGCACCTTTTCATACAGGTCATTTTGATGTCTTCTGTGGAGAAATGTTTGCTAAGATCCTTTGCCCATTTTTAATTTTTTTTAATCTATTGAATTGTATGAGTTCTTTATAAATTTTCGATATTAACTCCTGAGCAGCTGTATAGTTTGCAAATTCCCAACCCATCTGCGCCTGTTTCATTTTGATGATTATTTTCTTTGTTGAGCAGAAGTCTTTAGCTTTTATAGTCCTATTTCATCTACACAGAAAAAAAGGATTTACTTCTTTCTAATTTGGATGACTTTTTTTTTTTTAATTGTCCGATTCTCTTGCAAGTACTTTCAGTACTATGCTGAACAGAAGTGGTGACAATGGGTATTTTGTCTTGTACTAGATCTTAGTGGAAAAGCTTCCATTTGTTCTCAGTTGGTTATAATGCTAGCTGTGGGTTTTTCATAAATGACCTTCATTGTATTGAAAACCCTTCATTTTATATTTACTTATTTATTGTTTATTTTATTTTATTTTTAGAGACAGAGTCTCACGCTGTCATCCAGACTGGAGTGCAGTAGCACCATTATAGCTCACTGCAGCCTCAAACTCCAGAGCTCAATCCACCTGCTTCAATCTCCTGAGTAGTCCAGTTATTATTATTATTATTGTAGAGACAGGGTCTTGCCATGCTGTCCAGATTGTTCTTGTACTCCTGGCTTTAAGCAATCTTCCTGCTTCGGCCTCCCAAAGCACTGAGATTACAGACATGAGCCACTGTATCTGACCTTATTCTATATTTAAACTGTTGAGCTTTTTTTTTTTTGAACAAGAAAGGATTAGCCAGGTATGGTAGTGCGTGTCTGTAGTTCCAGCTACTTGGAAGTTTGAGGCGGAAGGATAGCCGGAGCCCAGCAGGTCGAGGCTGCAGTGGCCAGGAGCAGCCACTGCACTCCAGTCTGGGTGACAGAGTGAGACTCCAACTCAAAAAAAAAAAAGAAAAGAAAGGATGTTAGACTTCCTTAAATGCTTTTTCTGCATCAATTGAGAGTCATGAGGCATACATAAAACATCTTAGAGTTATAACAAGCTGTTTCTGGCTGATAACAACTTAACTTCTGTCATATACGAAACTTTAGACTTTTATTCTTTCTCCCAATTTTGATGTCATAATTTACTTCTTTTTATATTGTGTTTTTCTTATTAACTTGTAGTTTTAGTTATTTTTGGCTGTTCTGACTTTTAACCTTCATGCTAGAGATATGTATGATTTATATATCATCATTATGTTATTGAAGTAGTCTGGATTTGCCTGTGTATTTACTTCTACCAGTGAGTTTTATACTTTCATATATATTCTTGATAGCAATTATTACCCTCTCTTTTCTGCCTAAAAAGTACTATATGCTTAATTTATCCATCAATAACTTATATCAAAGATATACTGCATGATGAACGTATATTTTTGCATGCATAGATTTTTACTTTATATTTTTAAAGTACTTAAAACACATTTATATTAGAAAGATATTCATCCCTTTGAGCGATTTTCGAAAGTCTAATACTGAAAATATATCTCCAAATACAGACACTGTAATTTGTTTTTTATATTTTCCTAACTTTCAATCATTTGCTTTCATGTTTTTAGGTATTATCCTCTTTGCTTAGAATGTACCCCCTGCTCTTGTCAGCCTGTAATAGCATATTTCTTTTCAATATCTAGTTTTGGTAAAATGTTTATCAGGAAGGTTCTTCAACATCTGTAGTTTTTTCTTTGTTTTTAAGGACAGGGTCTTGCTCTGCTGGGCAGGCTGTAGTGCAATGGTGAAATCATAGCTCAATGTGGCCTAAAATTCCTGGCCTCAAGTGATCCTCTTGCCTCAGCCTCCCAAGTAGCTGGGACTCCAGATATACACTACCATTCCCAGCTGATTTCTCTAGTTTTAATTATCTCTCTGCCAATGTTACTTCTGTATTTTTTTTTTTTTTGAAATGGAGTCTCACTCTGTCGCCCAGACTGGAGTGCAGTGGCACACTCCCGGCCACTGCAGCCTCGACCTGCTGGGCTCTGGCGATCCTTCCACCTCAGTCTTCTAAATAGCCAGAACAACAGGCACGTGCTAGTTTTTTATTTATTGTAGGGACGAGGTCTCGCCAAGTTGCCTGGGTGGGTCTCGAACCCACAAGCTCAGGAAATCCACTCGCCTTGGCCTCCCAAAGTGCTGGGATTACAGGCTGAGCCACCAAGCCTGGCCATTACTTCTGTATCTTAAAGCACGATCTTAAATAGTGTAAATGTTCTTTAAACAAAAAACAATTTCTTAAAACAAAAACTTTTTTTTTTTACATTTTTGCACAATTTCACATCATGCTATAATTGATTTGCTTATCTGTGTTTTCCTCCAGGCTGTGAGATTCCTGAGGCTAGGGACTTATTGATCATCACAGTGATTCATTGCTGTTTCCCCAAGGTCTACCACATTACCAGGCATATGGCAGGCACACTACAAAGATGCACACACATGCGCATTTGTTCCATATATGGCACCTTACCTGCTCCTGTGGGCAGACAACCACTGTGTTGAAATCAGGCCACTTGTCCACCAAGGCCTTTAGATTGAACGGATTTCCCTGGTTCATGTGGAAAATGGTTCCTTAAACCTATTGCATGTCAACAAAGTGGGAAGTTCAGTCCATTGCAAAGGGACAGTAAAATGCCTTGTATTTAACAAAGATAAGCCTTATTTTTATGAAACTAGGGTAAATAACTGGCAGGACATCTATTCAAACAGTTTTCAGGTTATATTTTGTTATCCCAAATGGAAATGCGTTTTTGAGTCAAATCATGAGAATATTATATAAATATAGTTAAATACTCAAACAAATAAAATGAATAAATAAAAATCATCCACGCTCACATTGTAGAATTTAGTATTACATCTTTCCATTTTCTTCCACTTATTTATATACATGTAATTTTATAAACTATGAGATTGCCTAATATATGTTACTTTAACATCTATTTTTCCTCCACACACTATACTATGCGCATATTGCCATGTCAATAAAGATAAATCTACAAAATTATGCTTAATGAATGCATAATATCCATTATATAGAAGGACTAATTTAATATTAAAACCTCCCATTGCTGGTCATTTCAGTTTTCTCTGAGTTTTTAGCTTAAGTTAATTTTTCAAGGATTTTGCATAAATCCTTACAAATCTACCTTGTATTACAATTTTTGGATGGAGAATTTCTGGGTGAGATATCGAGTGCCCTTTAAATATGTTTCTCCCTTACAGATATATCCAAATTACTTTCTGAAGAAGTTAAGTGAGCTTTTTCTATTTAATAAGTAGAGAATAAGAATAAGAAAATAAGAAGAGATGTTAAGAGCATAAACTTTGATAATCAAAGTCTAGGAATGTTACACATTGGGCAGTTCGTGTAACCTTTTCTGCAAGCTTTTGTTCAAAATATTGATGCCTCAACAGAAATACTGGAGAAGTTGAAAATGAGATAGTCCAGAGAGGAAATAGTGCAGCACCTAGCAGGGAGGTCATTGGGACCCAAATGCAGTTGAGAACATGATGCCTTAGTAGACAAACAGAAATATGCTAAAGATGGATGAATGGAATGATGGACAGGTCAATGGCCAAGGACTACATCCCCTCACCCTGTGCTTTCATACTCTTGCCTTGAAATGTTTATACATCAGACAAGGAGAGAGAAAGAGGCAAACTTCGACTTTATTCTATATGAAATTGTTAAATTTTCTGCAATCAGTGAGGCTAAATTTAAAAACTAAATGCAGTTTTGAGAAAAATAAAAAGGTTTTCATTTTAAACATTGGAATTTGGGACCAGTGACATCCATATACACTAGATAAAAGCAAGCGTCATCACTCTTTCTTCCCATGCCTACCACTAAGTCAGAACATGGTGATCCAGGCAGTTACCAGAAATTGAAATGAATTAGAATTGACTTATCAGATACAAATATTCAGTGTCTACTATTTGGCGATATAGATAGGCTCTCCTTCAGGTCACAGTACACAGCACTTCTTCTTACCTGAGACTTTAGAGAATATTGAATGGAAATGTCTACCACAAATATTGGTTTTCTGGTATTAATCCTTTTACATACAAGAACATTGGAACTCAGAGTTGTTTAACTTTTACAATGTTACCAAAAAAACACAGTGAATTTGTTCAATCAAAGCTGTGTGACTCCGGATTCTGCCCCCTTGACAGCCTCCCTACCCTACCTCAATGAGAAGCATCAATGACTTGAGATTATGTTAAAGCTCCTGTAGTTTAGTCACAAATGTTCCCTATAAAAGGTGTTGAGGCACCAGGAAAAAGCAACAAAATGTAGAATATCATGTGGATTTCTCATCAGCACAGTGTAACAACTGTACAAAATGCATTATCTTCATAGTGCACTGAGAAGTCCAGATGTGTGACTTATTAACAAAGCAAAAGGTAGGCTAACAGCGGCTTAAACTTAAGGTTATTGGGGTTAAGGGGAAGTGCCATTGTTAATGGTACTGTTTTTAATTTTGAACTCCAATATTGTTCATCACCAGTGTACATAATACAATCAATTGCTATATTTTGTATATGTTGATCTTGAATCCTGTGACCTTGCCAAACTTACTAATTGTATCTAGAAGATTTTTTTGTAGGTCCCTTAAGGTTTACAAAATTCACTAAATTACTTTAGACAGTGATGCCACCTGGAAATAGACACTATGTTATATATTTATTTCCAGTATGTATTCCTTTATCTCTTTTTCTTGTCCTTTGTACTAGTTAGGACATTCAGTACCACACTGAATAAGACGGGTGAAAGTGAATATTCTTGTCTTGTTACTGATCTTTGAGGAAATACTCAGTCTTTCATTATTTAGTATGATACTAGGTGTGATTTTCTTTTCCCCCTAAATGCTTTTTGTCAGGTTGAAAAAGTTATCTTCTATTCCCAGTGTGTTGTGATGATTTGAATGTGCCTTCCAAAAGTTCATTTGTTGGAAACTTAATCCTCAATGCAACAGTGTTGGGAAATGAGCCCTCATAAAAGCCTCATGAGGGTGGAACCCTCATTAATGGGTTACAGCTCCTTGATATTTACTTGCCAGTCTCCAGAACTATTATCTAAATAAGTTTCTGTTTATTATACATTATCCAGTTCATGGTATTCTGCTAAAACAGCAGAAAACGAACTAATAGATTTGCTGAGAGCTTTGTTTATTAGAAATATTAAATTGTGTGCAACACTTTTTTGCACTCATTAAGATCATGTTTTCTCTTCTTTATTCTTATTATATGATTAATTACATTGATTAATATTGAATATTGAAACTGCCTTCCTTCCTCAGTATAAATCCCCTTTGATTATGATATATTATTCTTTCTATATATGAGGTCTGACAATTAAGTTCAGGAACTCATCTTGGAAAAAGTGCTACATACTTCAGTGTTGAGTATCACAATGGTCACGTTAAAAGTACTACCTTTGGGAAGCTATGCACTGACACCAGTGCCTAGTCCATCTGTCAAAGCAAGTTTGGAAGTCTTTTTCTGGAATGACTGTCAGAGCTGTCATTGCGAGAATGTCGGAGTTTGAATTAGAGCACTGACCAAAAATTAAATTTCTTGCTAAACTTGGCAAGAATGGAAGTGAAATCAGGGACGTATTAGTCCAAATTTATGGGGGAAGTGCCATGAAGAAAACGGCAGTGTACAAATGAATTAAACTTTTCTCTGAGGGGAAAGAAAACGTCGCTAATGAAGAAGGTCAGGATGGCCATAACAAACCGAACTGAAGAAAACATTGCAAAAATTCATCAAATTGTGCGCCAAAATCATTGGCTGACCGTGAGAAGCATAGTAGACCAAATAAACATTGACAGAAAAATAGAAAAATCTTAACGGAAAATCTTGGCATGAGAAAGGTGTGCATAAAAATGACCCCAAATAAGCTCTTGCATCACAACAATGCACCAGCCACACAGCACTGTCTGTGAAGGGGTTTTAACCAGTAAACAAATAACTGTATTGGAACATCTTCCTTACTCACCTAATCTGACCCCCAGTGACTATTTTTTTAACCCAAAGATAAGAAAATACTGAAAGGAAGACATTTTGATGACATTCAGGGAATCAAGGGTTAGAGTTAGGGTTTGGGCAAGGGTTAAGGTTAGGGGTAGGGTTAGGATTAGGTTTAGGGTTGGGGGTTAGGGTTAGGGTTAGGCTAGGGGTTAGGTTTCTCATTGTCATTTCAGAAAAAGAGTTCCAAAATTGCTTTGACAGGTGGACTAGACTCTGGCATCAGAGCATACCTTCCCAAGATGAATACTAAATTAGATATATAGTATTTTTTCTAGGTTGCCTTTTCAAAATTAATTTTATTTCTAGATTTGACTTGATAGTATTTTGTTGAGAAATTTTATGTCTATGCTTATGATGTATATTGCTCTGTAGTTTTACCATATTTTCTATTTCTGGCTTTGTATAAGGATAATTCTGGACACATAAAATGATCTGGGAAGTGTTCCTTTTTCTGCTTTATTCTAAGAAAATTTATGTAGAATTGGTATTTTTTTTTCCTTATATGTGTGGCGACATTGTCAGTGAAGTCATCTGAGCATGGAGTTTTTGACTGCTGTTTGACAGTTTTAAATTACAAAATAAATTTTATTGATAGATATAGAACAACTTGGGTTGTATATTCTTCTCCTGTAACCTTTGTTACTTTTCACAGAACTCATTCTGAAATTTATGAATATAGTGTTGATAATATTATGTGTTTATTTTTCTCATAATGTTTACTGGGTTTGGCCTCCTATTTGATTCTTGATAATGTTTATCTGTGTCTTGTCTTTTTTATTTCTTGGTCAGTTTGGCTAAATGTTTACCAACATTATTTTTATTTGAAAAGAACCAGACTTGGCTGGGAGCAGTTGCTCAGTCTATAATCCTAACATTTGGGAGGCTGAGATGAGCGGATTTCCTGAGTCCGGGGGTTCGAGACCAGCCTGGGCAACTTGGTGAGACTGCATCTCTACTATAAATCACACACACAAAAACCACTAGTCGGTTGTGGTGGCATGTATCTGTAGTTTCAGCTACCTGGAAGGCTAAGGAAGAAGGATCGCCTAAGCCCAGCAGGTCGAGGCAGCAGTGGCCATGAGTGTGGTACTGCCCTCCAGCCTGGGTGACAAGAGTGAGACTCCAACTCAAAAAAGAAAAAAAGAAAAAAAAGAACCAGACTTTAGACTCATTAATTTTCTTTATTGTTTTTCCCCACTCACATCCATTGGTTTTTACTCTTTTTTACACAATTTCCCTTATTCTGAGTTAATTTGCCCTTCTTTTTGAGTTTTGGAGATGAAAATTTAAAGCATTGATTTGAGATAATTCTTCTTTTCTATTATAAGCTTTTTTCTACACTTTTCCCATTTATCACAGCATTAGTTGCATCCCACAAATTTTGATGCTATACTTTCATCTTCAGTCAGTTAAAGTGTTTTTAAATTTTCCTTGTGACTTTGAAGCATGGTTTTTTAGAAGTGTGTTTGTACAATTTCTAGAAATTTGGGAACTTTTCAGACATTTCCAGTTGTTTAAAATTTTTAATTTAATTCCATTGTTTAAGAACATACTTGATATGATATGCTCTCAATTCATTGCAAATTCTTTAAAATGTGCTCTATAATGGGCACTTGAAAATAATACGTATGGTTGGTTTTGAGGGAAATACTTTGTAAATGTCAATTAGTTCAAGTTTGTTCATAGTGATGTTCTGTTCTTTTATATACTTACATGTTTTCTGTCTATTCTATAAATTGCTGAAGGAAGAGTGTTGAAGTCTTTAATTATACATGGGATTATCTATTTTTCCTTTCAATATTATTAGTTTTCTCTCATGTATTTTAAGTCTCTATTTTTAGGTGTTTGCATTTTAGTATCTTGTTTTCTTGGTGAATTGGTACCTTTGTCATAATGCAAAGGCAGTCTTTATCCCTAGTAATATTCTAGTCCTTTCATAAAATATACTATTGTATTAAAAAATGTAGGGTACAAGATTATAGGTCCACTTTTAAAACATGATTTTTCATTCAAAATTACACATAATTATTTGGAGTTTGACAAAATAGTCATTTATCTATTAATAATTTCAAAGAAGAATCATGTGATTAACCTCTTATCAAAGACATTATTATTTAGAAAGAAAAAATTAAACATTAATGCTAGTTTTAATTAATTTCGCAAATCCGGGAAAACTTCCAATGTTATATGACACAACTTTTGGAAAGGTCAAGGTTTTTGAGTAATCACACAGCAAAGAGCATACTGGATTCAAGTCATAGAATTGCCACTCATTTTTTTTTTTTTTTTTTTTTT